TTAATGAATCGCTGTTCACAAACAGCCCAGTATACAAAAAACCCTGTACATCATTTTGTTTCTGGGTACACAGAAGAAAAATTGGTGTTCAAGGCCGCTACTCGCTGCCGGTGCCCTGTCAGTGCTGTGAGGCCCTGCGGCGGCGTTGGCGGTACCGGCCTGGAGCAGAGCGCTAAAACCCACCCTTACCGCTGAGAGCAAACCCAAAAGCCTTTCAGCTCCTGAGCTTTACCGTGCTTTTCATTGTTGTCATCTGCTGACAGAAACAGACCTTTGAGAGTGTTTCTGCTGCCAACAGGGCCCAAAGCGCATGGCTCATGGCGACAGTGTCTCGGCCTCTAGTTCACCACGCGGTAGTCTGGATCCAGCTTTGGGGCTGTCCTGGTAATGGAGATAGATTATCCTTGGGCAAGCAGAGAGGTGACAGTGTTATCGATATTATGCCAGTTCAATGAATACAAAACTGTCATCAGAGTCTGTTTCTAATGGCAAAAGCCTCAATCTTTTCCTAAAATCTGAGAGTGCTGAGACTGGTCAGGAAGCTGAGAGACCAGCGCCATAGTTCTGCGGTGTCCAAATAGGGTTCTATTCATTTAGCGCTTTATGATGCCTAATAGGAGGTATTTTGTGTTAAAGTGGCCATTTTAAATGTAGGAATAAATTTGTTTATTCTGATACAACTCAGCTGAGGCACCTGTACTACGCATGGAAGTAGTGATGCCATTAAATCTCTTAATTATAATGGTAGAATGGTAAACCTGCTGAGTTTGGCTGTAGGAATATTCTGTACTGTGTAATCTGTAAGGGTTTGTTTTGTATCAGGTTCATTGTCCTCCTCCTTTATTTTTCTTATCCTGATTCACTCAGTAATCTATGTGGGTCATGTACTGCTTTTGCCTTTTTTTCTTTTTCTTTTCTTTTTTTTTTTTAAGTGGAGACAGTAATACTTAGCAATGCCCTGGGGATTTAATTGCTTACAGGGGAGTTCAAGTTGAAAAGCACTATTATATACTAGTAAAAACAATGGTTAATTCTGTGCAAGCATCTGCATTTTACTTACATTAAAGTATTTTAAATTATTACTTTGGTTAAAAATCTTGCTCCCAATAAAGTGTTTTTTTATCACTGAGAACCTTGAACTTGACTTTAAGCCAAGACAAGAGGCTCTAAACTTCTCACTTGTTTCAAAACATTAGATTTCATGTTAAACAAATATTTGCCATATACTTATTTTTATTGTTTCAAACCAGAATAAGTACCTTTAGAAAGCAATGTTTATTTAGGAGAAAAATAAATATGGTTTTAAAGTCTTCTGGATAATGTACTACTTTTTACTTTTAGAGTATGAAGCAGAGCAGCCTCAATTTCCAGATGTTCCTGAATCAAAACATGGATCTGTGAGTATAGTTCAAGTAAAAAAAATCTGCATAGGGCTGGTTTTAAAAGATTTTAAATAAGTAAATGGGAAAATTAGGTACTCGCAGAATAGACATCCATAAAGTGAAAACAAAACTACATTTTGCAAACAACTTTTGTGAATCAACAAATGTAATATTCCAAATCATTGATTTTATTTAAAGCAACTTGGGTAGTGCTAGGCTAAAATTAGATTACCAGCTGTGTTTGGTTTGTACGTCTCGCTGCCTTTTTGCTGTGACTGTCTCCTTCATGTGCAAGGATCTCCCTTTGGTGGTGTTGCAAGCAGACGGAGTACTGAAATATGTAGGAGAGGGGAGCAAGCACAGTGAGGGAGTTGTGCCTCAATTTCACATACATGACCAGTCACTTAGATGTGACCATTGAAATTAGTGGAATTAAGAGGGAACTTAAGAAGGACAAACCACTTTAAATCTTTGTGCCCAGCAGTTCTAGGGGCACTAAAATTAATTATTTTGGACATCACATACACAGTTAACTTTAAATTAGCCATTTTTGTAGACGTTTTATCTTACAATTCTGTATTTAGGTTACTTTGTTATTTTAAAACTATTTTAAGACAATGTAGTTTAAATTGTCTGACAGTTGGTTGGTTTAGACCTATCCTGTTTCCCCAAATGAAACTGGCTTCATTACAGGCTGTTGTTAAATTTAATAGTGAACTCCGCTTGGGGCATTAGTCAGAACATAATATATTAATATATTTGAGCATCAAAATGAAGTAATATACCTTCTTATATTGATGCACTTTTTTTTTTTAATTTCCAAAGGATCATTTTTTGAATATTGCATATGTTAAAAAGGAGTCTATCTGCAGTCATTGACATGTGGTGTATTATAAGTTTTGTGGCCTGATCCCACCACCTGCTTTTCAGTAGTTCATAAATCCAACTAAATTTTAAAGTGAAACTGTTTAGATAATGGAGTTTTCAGAAGAAGTTATCATAGCAAACTGTAATGGTAGTGCATTCTTGGGGATAACAGGAGGTATCTGCCTCTCTGTAACAGGTGTAGCTCAGTGTCTGTTAGGAGTATTCTGCTGGCTCACTGTAACAGTTCCTGCACTCCTAAAAAACATATGTTAAATTGTGAACTGTCTTTTTTCCTGGTATCCATAATTGTTTCTGTATGGGGAACCTTAAGACTTGTATTTGTATCTGCTCCGAATTTGTCTGTTTGTGCTTTGTTTAGAAGGAAAGTTTATTTTCTTGAAAAGGTGAGTGTCAGGACTTCTGAACAATACAAAAAAAATTATTCTGAGTGGAAAAATACTTATTCGGAAAATGTTGCTAATTTTGCTTTTCAAAGAATTACTATTTCTTACAATGGCTAAAATATTTTTTAAATTGTGATATCATATTCTCTTAAAAGTAGATATATGTATTCTGTTAGGTTTGGATGTTTTTATTGTGCTGGAAACTGCAGAATTTTTTCAATTGTAATTCTTCTGTTTAAAGTAATCAAAAAACCCTGAAATAATATTTAAATTAGAAATTATAATTCCATATTTTTTAAACTGACCTTATAATTTTTCCTTTTGAATTGGCTTCTACATTTTCTTACAGTCTGATTGGGGTATTTATATAGGGTGCGTTTATCTTGAACAGGTGTCTTTGGAAGCAGGAATATTGCAGCCATTACATATGGAACAATTTTATTCAGCCCCTGCAGCTGATACTGTTGTCCAACAGTTGCTTCCCATAGCCGAGGCAGCCCCCTTTCCAGAACCACCTGATCCAAAAACATGTAAGTAGGAGTATATTATCTTGAACCCTGCTGTGCAAGGGTTTGGCATGTGTTTAATTTGAAGTGTTAACAGGTACAACACCTTTTCTTAAGTGGAATTGGCATGATTAGTCCCCTGGTCTATACACAGGGAGCCAGCTTGGCCACTTGGTCAATGGAAGAAAGCTCAAATAGTGCATTACAAATCACTAGCATTTTCTAGCTGTTAAGGTAGTTCTGTTCTCTTCTGAATAAGTGACTTTTTATTTAGCCACTTAAATCAGAGAAAGGCAAGAGTTTCTTCCTCTAACTCAATAATTCAAAACTAGGATCAACAGACTAAATAGACAATTGAGTTCGAAAACTGCTTTCAAAATATTATCTTTGCCCGTCTGATTACAAATTAAATGGAAACAGCTCTAAAGTTTTTTCTTCCATTTTTATCAATTTCTATACGTTATAAAATTTACCAAGTAGCAATGTATTTTCATTATGCTTTTTAGCCCTCCTTTGTGTCTTTTCTTCTCTTCCATTATGCTCGTTAGGAATTCCTGTTGCTAGTCAGAAGCAGTGTTACACCTGGCTTTTATATATATAGCGTCCTTCCAATTATGAACGTTTTTTGGCAGTATATGAACCAATTGCAGGTATAAAGCAGAGAATAAATTCAGTG